TTTCCAGATCTGGCTTGGTCCCAATAACATTATTCCTCACTGCTGAGGAACTGGAAGCCTGAAGTAAACTTGAACTACTATATTATGCTACTCACTTTCCATGAAGTGTTATGAATAAAAATAAGCTGCTTGTGTTAAGATGAACCAGCTTCCAGCATACCGTGGGTGCTCATTAAGTGTTAAATAATAATAATATGTTTGGTGATGCAGTAAGCTTGATTTATACTCATTATTATTATTTTTGCTTTCTTCCTAATCTGTGAACTTGGATCATGTGGGTTGGGCCACCCCATTGTTAGGGGAAATTAGTGAGGGAAATTAGTGATGGCCGCACACATTTCTCTCCACCTAGCACACCACAATGACAATTTACCTGTCAGCCTTCCTGACACTAATCTTTGCCCGTGGCTCTTTCTGGTCTGACTTTCTAAATCCCCTTGTAGTTATTTAAATCTTTGAAGGCTTGTTCTTTAGGGAGACTGAGAAATGATGGTCATGGGCAATATATTATTTCTGGAGTGGAAAAAAACAGCCTTTTCAGGGCTTTCTCTCATTTCCACCAGAGCTTGAACTATATTGTGCTTCTCCCAGGTATCAGCAAACATGTGGGTGGTTGCAGGGAGGCCGCTTTATAGAGTGTGGGTAATTGCTTGGTCATGCCTATCAATCAGCAAGGCTGTACTTGAATTTCTCTGATTAACTACAGACATTTGGTGGCAACATTTGACTTGGAACCAAGTTCAAAGGTACACATTTTTCTCACCAGCTTTTCTCCATATCTTAAAATATCACAATTAGCCAAAGATTATTTTGCAGCTTTTATAAGTTTCAATAGTCTAATTGTGAAGACCAGGAGAATGCAAAATTCTATGTCCAAAATGGTGTGGGAATGCTATGTTGGATCCACTGGGTGACCCTGCATGCTCCTTGGGATTCTCATTCCACAACATGTCCGTTTCAGAATGTTTTCCCTGTCCCCTGTGCCTGCAGACTGTAAGACAATGCTGGTGACTACAGATAATCCACTGTGCTTTCTTTGAATACTGACCAGACCAAACATGAACTCTTCAAAACACTGGAATCTCTTATCCCTTTCTTCTGCCCACAGTGCCCCAGGGAGAAAAGCTCAGGACTGACCAACTGGGTTTTCCATACCCTAAATTATAATATACCTGCCCAAAGGGAAGGCTATATGGATAAAGACAATGAAGTAGATGGTATCAAACAAGGATCAGTGTGGAAGTTTGGGTTCACTTTATGCTCAGTTCAATAACGCTGGATATTGATGCTCCAGTATCTCAAGAGCTGATATATCAACACCACACCTTAAAATTTTTATTTTAAAATAACATAATATTTACAATTATTTATAGAGTGTGGTATGGAATTCCAATACATATATGTAATGTGTTTTTATCAGATCAGGGCAATTGGTGTACCAATTACCTTGAACATTTATGATTTATGTTGAGGACTTTCTGCTATTTCTAAATATATACTCAATTGTCATAGTTATGCTACCTACCATACTAGTCATTCTACTCAACTGCACCCCCATTTCCACTGTCTCTATTGACCCCAATTCTACTCTCAACTTCCATGAGCTCAACTTTTTAGCTTTAATCAAAATAGTAACAAGTGGTATTTGTCTTCCCTTTCCTGAGTTCTTTCACTTACTATAACCTAAAGCTACAATTCTATATAAAATCCTGTTTTAGGGCATAGAAGGGTCTGCCCCATTCAATTTGGCTTTGGCTGGATACATATTCACATCTTTAATCTGTCCCTCATCAAGTAGGTAACCATTGACAGGTGACAACCTTGAAGCCTGTTACTGTAAACTGAGGGTCACAGCCTTGTTCTGAGTTTTGTGGTTTGGGTAATGCATGTGGAACAGTCACACTGAAAGGCCTAAATAAATATGAGTTAGTCTGCACCTTCTTCAGTCTTCTTATCAGTTCTAAAAACAAGGATAATCTGTATCCACTTGAGTGTGAAGTGGAGAGTAGAGTAAAATAAACAGTGCCGAATCAGAAGCCTGTGGACTTTGGGTTATCAGGGTCAGTTCAAAGGAGACATTTTCCAGCCCTTTCATTTAGAGACTGAAGGTACAGAACCGTGGTTTTGGTCTCACCTGTTTGCTCATGCTACTCTCAACAATTACCTTTCTACCAAGAAGTGCATGGAATTTTGGAGTTCAATCTTAACAACACAGACTGAGGACATAAGGGACCAGCATGACAATCATGTTACCTCAGTTGACACCATTCAGAGAAATTAATGTTTGTAAACTGATAGCTTAATGTCCTGAAAATGCCTGTGGATTCTCAGGGCATGATCAATACAAATTCATCACCAATACAAACTTATGACTAAATGGCAATCCATGTAAAAATGACTAAGGAAGAGTCACATGTGGTAGTATGAGTCTTTAATCCCAACACTAGTGAGGAGGAGGCAGGTGGATCTCTGTGAGTTTGAGACCAGTTAGGACTACATAGATACACCCTGTCACAAAAAAAAAAACAAAAATGAAATAAATATCTAAGGAAAAAGAGAAAACCATTGCTAACATAATATTCTGATTTCATCTAAATGAATATACAATTCACTTTTGCTAATGTCATCTGAAGGCTATCATCTAAAACACAAGAAGTGTCCAAAAGAAGGTGCTTATAACAAGGTCATTCCCATTGATGTCAGATGGCACTTTTGAGTTGCTGAGCTTAATCACACACACACACACATACACACACACACCTGCCTCCTAATCTTAAACCCCAAATTGGGCTGCCATTCTGTCTGCCACATGCATCATCTTTATCTTCCTCTTCTTTTAGCCTTACCCTTTTGTGTCCAACTTCCAGGTTTCTTAAAAGCAGCATTGTCCAAGCCTACATCTCTGTGTTTAGGTGTCTTTCAGTCCAATATGAGGTCTTTGGGTTAGGAGGAACCCTAGAAATCCATCCAGTGCTGGCACTTATATATAAAAACCACCAAGGACTCAGTAAGGACTGTATGTTTTGCTATTGAGAATGATTCTACCTACTTAGCCCTGGCTGGCTTGAACACCACCACTCCCCATACACATACCTCTACCTCTTGAGAATGGCATTACAGATGTAAGCTACTGCAACTGACATGCATTTGTTTTTGCCTGGCTTTCAGCAAGCACAAAGGAAAACAGACTATGCCCAACCTATGCCCATCTAGTCTGATAGCTGGATGCCAAAAGTGTCTGGGAGGAAAGAATAAAATGAAAAGAAGCCTGGGTGTCTATAGGTTTGAGCTTTGTCAACTTCAATGTTTGAAAGGCCACTGCAGTCATGCTAGAATATGTTAACTTTTAAGATGAGCACCTAACCTTTTTTGGGCTTTGTCATAAGAGCATTTAATCCAAATTCATATCTCAGTTGCATAAACAGATTCCATTTCTCAGACATTTCTGGCCCAAGTCATACATTTGCAGCAGTAGTTGAGAGCTTTGGCTTTGCCGGATGGCTGAATTTAAGAAGATCTTCATTAAAATCAATGGAGAAGAAAATTAAGTCATTTAAATTGCTATTTCTGGACTTGTGAAACTTGAAAGTGTCCAAACAAGAAATATTCCATTATTTATTATGGTGACTGGATCCATGGCCATTTAAGTACTTAAGCTAGTACTCTTCCATCATTCCACCTTGTCTGTGCTCCTGGTAGGGCTTAGAAAGAGAGAAATAGAATGTTAAATACATAGTAGCTCTGGCCAATGATATCATCTTAGTGCAGAGTGTTAAGATATGTGAAAAGGGCTGGGCGGTGGTGGCGCACGCCTTTAATCCCAGCACTCGGGAGGCAGAGGCAGGCGGATCTCTGTGAGTTCGAGGCCAGCCTGGTCTCCCAAGTGAGTTCCAGGAAAGGCGCAAAGCTACACAGAGAGACCCTGTCTCAAAAAACCAAAAAAAAAAAAAAAAAAAAAAAGATATGTGAAAAGGTTGGTAACAGATTATGTGCAGGAGTTTTGAATTAGTGTCTTGCTCACCAGGGCAAAAGGCATTTGTAGTTTCAGCCATTCTTTGCTTTTCTTGATAAACCAGCCTTGGAGACTCAGAAGTGAATTACTCATGGTGGAACCAAGAGGTTGCTTGGGATGTACTTTGGTGGGCACTAGGGATTGTTGGTTCATGAACAGTTGCCTGTGATTGGCAGATCCCATGCATTATGTGAAAGTTTTATTAGATTCTTCCTATTTCACTATTTATCAATAATACCTCAAAAACACTGAAATAAACTGGGCAACTCTGTTACTATCTCCCTCTCATGTTGTTTGTTTATTTGGTTGGTTGGTTGGTTGGTATTTTTGTATTGATTCCAATCTAACTTCCACCAAGGATAGCATAGGTTTGTAAAGTGAGTTTAAGGGGATACACAAATCCACTACCATTGTAGGCAACCTTTGGTGGAGAGGTCTATATCTGCTTTCCCCAGAGAGCATGTTACTTTCACTGGAATTTTGTAAGCAGTCACAGCTCCAGAGACTCACAGGAACTTCCCTGTCTACAAAAAAAAAAATGATGTAAGCATTGTGTTTCCTTGTTTTAATTGCATTGCCTTCATTAGAAAGGACTACTGCATAAACCATTTCAGCATTCCACCCAGCCCTTGTCTGAGAGCATCATTTCTTTCTCTTTGTGTTTGCTTTCTTCTGGCAGAGACCTTGATCATCACATCTGCCTGCCTCAAATCATGTGTGAGTGTCCTTCTTTCTCTGCCTAGATGCCCTCTGGTCTTCTGCTGCTCCGGTGCTGCTGGAGTTGCAGAACCAAGGTCCACTTCTGGAAGCTGGAGGTGACATAGGGAGATCAGTCATATCTACAGGCTTCCTTGTGATCCTCTACCTAATAATGGAAGATGCATCTTTGTGAATGCTTCTGCTGGCTATTCTGTTTAAATTCCTACCTATTATAGGTTCACTTTCCAGGTAAGGGAAAGGAATATGGTTTTCCTCTCTCTCTACTTACCTGCCCTTGTACATCAACCTGCTTCACAGAACAACTGTATTCTATTGCAGTCATTCTGTTTCCAAATAGCTGCCTCTAGTCCAGGAGTATGCATGAGTGGCTCAAAGGATTAAGAGGAAAACTCTATAGCAGTATTTAGCTACCATATATTGAGTGCTGAGTGTGTGCCAAGGTCTGTGTCAATGCATGTGCCTTCCTGAAACCTTGGGAGCTGTAAACATGTAAACACACTCATCTCTGAAATTCCATCCCAAGCTCCAACACTAGTCCTTACATTGTCCATATTCCTCTTACTGTCTTCCCAGTGAAGGCAAAGTATAAACATGTTTCCAGAAAGAACATGTCCACTGGTATATAACACTCCTCCACTGGTGGAATTGCTGCCATTGGCGTTCACTTTCAGAGGTGCTGCTGAAGCCTTCTCTGTGGCTGCTTTGTTAGTATCCATTTAAATTCGTTTTCCAGTGTCAATACTGATAGTCCCAAAGATTTCTTCAACTACCAGATCTGGAGTGAGTGACTTGTCCAAACACAATTATTATGCCATCTTATTTGGCCATCATAATTAGCTAAGCATTTTATTTCCCATTCAAATGCCCATTTCAGTGGTTAATAACAATGGGAAATAAATTCAGGCATATATGCTGGTGTGTGTGTGTGTGTGTGTGTGTGTGTGTGTGTGTGTGTGTGTGTGTGTGCGCGCGCGCGCGCGTGCATGTGTGTGGTCATTACCGACCTATTATGTGCAGCAGTTCTATTGTCCACCCCAGAACTACAATCATAGACAAGCTCCCCCTGCTCCTCAGCGCTCTCCAGCAGTCGCCTGCTCCTGCTGTTCAGCCAGTGTGTGCTTAGTGAATGCAAATTCATATTAATATCAATCAGCCTAAGCCAAATCAGCCTCTCCGGAGTAGGGAAGTGAATCTGCATAAAATCCAAATGAGATAATATATGAGAAAGGACTCTGAAAATTATAAAGTGCTATACAAATCAAGGTATTTTTATAATAAAATCATAATTTATTACAAAGCCAAGTATGAATTATTTTTAAGATGGTCTGCTAGTTTAGATTAGCTGCACCATTAGCAAGTGCTCAATAAATATTTGTTCAATTGTGCTGCTGAATTGTGATAATCAAGACTCAACTGAACATGAAAACAAAGAATTCTATGAAAGATTTAATTAATGCAATAGGTTAGAGAACATGTAAAAATAAAGATTAAAAGAATCAGGATGGCTTCAAATACAAAAGGAAATAATTTATGTTTTCATTTTAGAATTATAATATATCCTTGAAATCGCTTGCTTTTCAAAATGAGGCAATTGCCATTTACCACATTATAAAAATCTTCTAGAAGTTACTATACAAGATCTTCAGTTAATTTGCATTTGAATTAAATTGTACTGCCCTAACTAAATATTTTATTATATATAATTAATGTGTGGGTGTGTGTGCACATACATGTGCATGAGTGCAATGGTGTGCATGTAGAGGTCTGGGAGAACTTGTAGGAGTTGGTTCTCTCTTTCCACCATGTGGATTCCAGGGAATACTTAGGTTATGAGGTTTGGCAGCAGTATCTTTACCTGATGAATCATCCTATTGGCCTTTAATGGTTTTAAATATTTTAAATTACAACCCAGGATGGAAAAGATGGTGCCTCATGTCAAAACGCATAGGATGCAGAAGTGTAGTTTGTGGTTACATCTATCACAATATCACATCAATCTTTTAGCTATGGTCATTTACTACTTTATAAGTAGATGTAGAACTTGGTTAAGAAGAATTTTGGTTTCTCCCAATACATATTGTTTGTAACAATGCCCCTCTTAATTTAATTGTGGAAAATATATACTTTCACAGTGAAAATCATATTTATTGATTATTGAGTATTAAGGTACATGTCTTTGTTGCCTTGTGTATATTTACTCAACATCTAGCAGGAAAACTGAAGATACCTGAAATGATAGGACTGAAACCCATTGGTGAGTAGAACTTTGTGTCTGACATTTGGAAAATTTTGAATATCTTGGTCTGTATATGAGTCTTCACAGTTAGGTTCTATACTTGGATTTCAAGCATTTTATAGCTCTTGTTACCTGAGAGATATACATAAAAACCTTTGGGCTTAGAGTATATCTCATCTGATAGCGTGCTTGTCTGATATATTTGAAGCCCTGGTCTCCAGTACAAGATCAACTTATCAACTATGTGTATTGGTATATACCTGTAATTCCAACAGTTGGGATGCAAAAGCAGGAAGATCAGGAGTTCTAGGCAAGCCTCTGTCATACAGCAAGTTTAAGGCCAACCTGGGATACATGAGGCCCCTGTCTCAAAACCTACTCAAAAAAGGAAAGAAATCCAACTTGTAACATTTGGAGCATTTAAGTTCTACTTAAAATGTGAGATGGGCAGTCCATTGATAAATGGTCACATTGGGAATAGATAAACTTCCTGAAATCCTTCATATGGCTTTATTATCTAAGGACTTAAACCAATATCTTATGCAATTTATGATCGAAGGAATTTCCAAGAATAAGTTCAAGAGATTCTGCAAATAAATTTTCCAAAAACACATTTAAAATTCATCTGGGAGAGAACTCAGGAGGTTAGAACTCTTCCTTTGAAAGCATGCTCTATCCTGAGTTCTATAACCAGCACTACATAATCTGGATGCAGTGGCAGATTTCTCTAAGCTCAGTGCTCATGGGATGGAAGCAGGAAGGTCAGAAATGCAAGGTCATCCTTGGCTATAGAGTGAATTTAAAGTCAGCCTTGGATACATGAAACCATGTATTAAAAAAGAAAAAACAACTCTTGCCTGTCACGTTCATAAATGAAACAAACATAAGCAAGAGAATAAATGTAATGGCCGACATAGGTAAGTCATAATAAGATCTTGATGAGTTACAATCATAGGTAAAAACCAAAAAGATGAATGTTGACAAAAAATAATGGTAAAGAACTAAATTTAGATTTTAAAAATGTCAATTGCCAAAGTTTATAATGAGAAATATTTGTCCTGGCAGCACACAAAGTGACAAAGCTCTCAAGGACACTGTGAGTCACCAGTATTTTGATGAGAACAACAACAAATAGACCAAAGAAAATCTAATAGCATAATCTCAACTCACGTTAGTATAAATGTACAAGAACATAGCTCTAATCTAATACATTGCTTAAAGGCATGAGTCTTATAAAGTTCTGATTTTGCCTATTAGGCCTCCAACCAGATACTTAGAGTATGTGGTTGGCTGTAAGAGTATGTGCTTGGCTGTATAAAATGGACAGATAAATTTAGAATGTCTCACCAAATAGATGGCATTTCAAGCCAAAGGACTAGATAAAAAATCAGAATGACAGTAGTTATCACCAGTGAGAACAGACATAAGCTCTATAGTAGTGTACAGAGGTGGCCATATAGAATATCACAGGCTTAATGACATAAACATAAGAAATATGTTTCCACACAGTCCTGAAGGATAAAAGTATAAGAACAAGATGTTGCCAGGGTCTGATTAAGTTTTATTCTTCTATCCTTACCTTGGAGACATCTACTTTCTCCATGCACCTGTCCACATGACTCTAGCATCTCTCTTATAAGAACACCAGTCAGATTAGGTTGGAATCCACCCTAAGAGTTCTATATTCTTCCACTAGCCACATTAAAGGCCCTGTTCCTGTGTGTGGTCACAATGAGTGACTTGGGGTTGAGAATTGGAAGAATGCAACTGGGGATGTAGCCTTGGGTTCTATCACCCCTACCTAAAGGAGAAGAATGCTCAAGGCAAAATAATCCCATAATGGAATCAAATAATTGAGTCTTGTTTGTACATCATTTAGAAGTCGGTAAAGAGGCGCCAACAGGAAAGGCAGAGTAGGAGCAGCCAAATAAGAAAAACCAAGAGAAAAGGGGTGTTTGGAAGCCTAAAGAAGAAAGAAATTTCAGAAAAGATCAGTGGTCAGCCATGTTGAAAACTGTAATAAATGAATACAGATAAGAACTGAGTGTCCCGAGGAGAACAAGGCCCACAGCATCAATAAGCAGGGCTCATTAGGGTGCACAGAGACTGAAGTGGCAATCCTGGAGCCTGCGTGGATCTGCACTAGGTCCTCTGCATACACCATGGTTGTGTAGCTGAGTTTTCTTGTGGAACTCTCGACAATAGGAGAAGGGGTGTCTTAGACTCTTTTGCATGCACTTGGGATCCCTTTCCTCTTACTGGTTGCTGTGTCCAGCCATGATATGAGGGTTTGTACCCAATCTTATTGTATTTTTTAACGTATTTTTAAATTTTTCTCTTATGTATTACATCCCAACCTCAGTGCCCCTCCCTCCCCTCAGTCTCTCTCCTCACCTCCATTCTCCTCCAGATTCACACCCCCTCCATTTCCCCTCAGAAAAGAGCAGGCCTCCCAGGGACATCAATCAAGCACGGCATAATATGCTACAATAATACCAGGCACATATTATCAAATCAAAGCTAGATGAGGCAACTCAGTAGGAGGAAAAAGGCCCCACAAGTAGGCAAAGGAGTCAGCAACTGCCCCAGCTCCAACTGTAAGGAATCCTACAAGAACACCAAGTTACTCAGCCACAACATATATGCAGAGGACCTAGGTCAGACCCCTGCAGGCTCCCTGATCTCTGCAAGCCCCCGTGAGTCCTGGTTAATTGATTCTGTGAGCTGTGTTCTCATGGTGTCCCTAACCCCTCTGGTTCTTCCTGATGCTTCCTCCCTTCCTCTGAAGGACGCCCTGAGCTCCACCTAATGTTTGGCTGTGGGACTCTACTTCTGTTCCCATCAGTTTCTGGATAAAGTCTTTCTGGTCTCTTTGATAATGATTCTGCTAGGCCCTAATCCCAGAACACTCTGTAGGCAGGACAAACTGAAGGTTGAAGGTTTTGTGTCTGGGTTGGTGTCCTAATCCCTCCACTTGAGGCCTTGCCTAGTAACACAAGATGGCCGGTTCAGGCTCCTCTGTGTCCTCCATTACTAGGAGTATTAGCTAGGGTCATCATCATAGATTCTATGGAATTTCCATTACA